TTTTTCCACCTAAAAATCTCATTTTTCCACCTAAAAATCCCATTTTTCCACCTAAAAATCCCATTTTTTCCACCTAAAAATCCCATTTTTTCCACCTAAAAATACCATTTTTTTCCACCTAAAATCCCCAAATCTTTTTCCCAAAACCCCCGTTTTTTCACCCGAATCCTCTCTTTTCCCAGCTCCCCGTCCCTCCCCTTCCATCTCCCTCCTCCCTCCCTCCCTCCTGGACCTCTACCTGTCCGCCACGCCCAACATCACCTGCGTGGCCACCAACCTGAAATCCCCGGAGCCCAAATTCACCTGGAGACGCTCCTCGGGCGGGGCCCTGGGCGTGGCCACTTCCGGCCCCGCCCAGAAACTCCCCAACGGCTTCTACGAGGTGCGGAGCCACCTGGGGATCTGCGCCGAGGATTGGAACTCGGGCGACGCCTTCACCTGCTCCGTCAGCGCCGAGGAGCTGGGGCCGACGCCCATGGTCGGAACCATCCGGAAGGACACCGGTCAGTCACGGTTTGGGGGGAATTTGGGGGAATTTGGGGGTTTTTTTTGGGGGGATTTTTTTGGGTTTTATTGGGATTTTTTGTGAATTTTTTGCGAGTTTTTTGAGTTTTTTTTTTAATGAGATTTTTTTTTTTTTTTAGATTTTTTGTGAGGGTTTTATTGGAATTTTTTGAGGTTTTTTGGGGGGTTTTTTTTGAGGATTTTTTGGGGTTTTTAAGGGATTTTATTGGGATTTTTTTGAGATTTTTTTGGGGATTATTTTGTGGTTTTTTTAGGATTTTTTTGCGAATTTCTTGAGGTTTCTTAGAGATCTTTTTAGAGATTTTTTGGGGGGTTTTACTGGGATTTTTTTTTTGGGTTTTATTGGGATTTATTTGGGTTTTATTTGGGATTTTTTTGTGAATTTTTTGAGATTTTTTAGAGATTTTTTGGGGGGTTTTATTGGGATTTTTTGGGGATTTTTTTGGGGATTTTTTGGGGATTTATTGGGATTTTTTGTGAATTTTTTGAGATTTTTTAGAGATTTTTTGGGGGGTTTTATTGGGATTTTTTGAGGATTTTTTGGGATTTTTTAGGGTTTTTTTAGGGATTTTTCAGAGGTTTTTTAGGGAATTTTTAGAGAATTTTATAGGAATTTTTGGGGGACTTTTTGGGGATTTTGGGGATATTTTTTTTCAGCGGGATTTCATGGAATTTGGAGGAGTTTATTCCCGGGTTTGAGGCGGTGATTTTGTGGTTTTGGCGTCAAAATTCCGGATTCTGGAGTCAAAATTCCCAATTTTGGGGTCGGAATTCCCAATTTTGGGGTCAGAATTTGTGATTTTAGGAAGGTTATTCCCAGTTTTTAGGGCCGAAATTCCCAATTTTGGGGTCTGAATTCCCAATTTTGGAGCTGGAGACCCAACTGGTCCATACTGGGAGACCCAACTGGGAATGGTGGAATCAACTGGGAGACTGAACTGGGATTGGTTCTCCCAACTGGGAATGGTTTTTCCCAACCGGGAACCCAACTGGGAATGGTTTCTTCAACTGGGAACCCAACTGGGAATGGTTTTTCCCAACTGGGAATGGTTTTTCCCAACCGGAAATGGTTTTTCCCAACTGGGAACACAACTGGGAATGGTTCTCCCAACTGGGAATGGTTTTTCCCAACTGGGAATGGTGAAGTCAACTGGGAGAGTCAACTGGGAATGGTTTTTCCCAACCGGAAATGGTTTCTTCAACTGGGAACCCAACTGGGAATGGTTTTTCCCAACCGGAAATGGTTTTTCCCAACTGGGAATCCAACTGGGATTGGTTCTCCCAACTGGGAATGGTTTTTCCCAACCGGGAATGGTTTTTCCCAACTGGGAATGGTTTTTCCCAACCGGAAATGGTTTCTTCAACTGGGAACCCAACTGGGATTGGTTTATCCCAACTGGGAATGGTTTTCCCAACTGGGAACCCAACTGGGAATGGTTTTCTCAACTGGAAACTGGTTTTTCCAACTGGGAGACCCAACCGGAAATGGTTTTTCTCAACTGGGAACCCAACTGGGATTGGTTTTTCCCAACTGGGAACCCAACTGGGATTGGCTTTTCCCAACCGGGAATGGTTTTTCCCAACCGGAAATGGTTTCTTCAACTGGGAACCCAACTGGGATTGGTTTTTCCCAACTGGGAATGGTTTTTCCCAACTGGGAATCCAACTGGGAATGGTTCTCCCAACTGGGAATGGTTTTTCCCAACCGGAAATGGTTTTTCCCAACCGGAAATGGTTTCTTCAACTGGGAACCCAACTGGGATTGGTTTTCCCAACTGGGAATGGTTTTTCCCAACTGGGAATGGTTTTTCCCAACCGGAAATGGTTTCTTCAACTGGGAACCCAACTGGGATTGGTTTTTCCCAACTGGGAATGGTTTTCCCAACTGGGAACCCAACTGGGAATGGTTTTCCCAACTGGAAACTGGTTTTTCCAACTGGGAGACCCAACCGGAAATGGTTTTTCTCAACTGGAAACCCAACTGGGATTGGTTTTCCCAACTGGGAATGGTGAAGTCAACTGGGAGAGTCAACTGGGAATGGTTTTTCCCAACCGGGAATGGTTTTTCCCAACTGGGAACCCAACTGGGATTGGTTCCCCCAACCGGAAATGGTTTCCCCCAACCGGAAATGGTTTCCCCCAACCGGAAACGGGGGGTTTTTTTTTCTTTTTCCCCCAACCGGAAATGCCTTTCCCTCCCCGACACCTCTTTTCCCACCCTCCGCCCCCCCCGCAGGCGCCCCCGCCGTGGCCCCCAAGGTCTTCGTCTTCCCTCCGCCGCCGGAAGAGCTGGCGCTGGCCGAGACGGCCACCTTGACCTGCCTGGCCAGCGGCTTCTTCCCGCGGGACATCCTCCTCACCTGGACCCGCCAGGACGCCCCCCTGGACCCCCGCGACTACTCCCTGCTGGGCCCCCAGCCCGACGCCGGCGCTTCCGGAACCTTCTCGCTCTACTCCAAGCTGTCGGTGCCGGCGGAGCAATGGCGGCGCGGCGACGTCTTCACCTGCGTGGTGGGGCACGACGGCGTGGCCGTGAGGTTCGTCCAGAGGAGCCTGGACAGGACGGCGGCGCGGCCGGCCAGCGTCAACGTCTCGGTGGTGCTGGCCGACTCCGACCTCGTCTGCTACTGACGTGGAATTTTCCGGAATTTTCCGGGATTTTTCCGGGATTTTTCTGGAATTTTCCGTGAATTTTCTGCGATTTTTCCGGGAGTTTTTTCCCGCTAGCTTTTGTGAATTTTCGCGAAATTTTTTTTTGTGGATTTTCACAGATTTTCATGAATAAAATCAGATTCGGAGAAACTGAAGCGTGGTTCTATCTTTTTTTTTTTTTCCCCCCAGGGAAAACGCGGATTTGGGGTGAAATTTGCGGATTTTAGGAGTTAAATGCCGATTTTAGGAGGAAAATGTGGATTTGGGGTGAAATCGGTGGATTTTAGGAGGAAAGCGTGGATTTTTGGATGAAAATGTGGATTTGGGGTGAAATCCGTGGATTTCAGAGGGAAAATGTGGATTTTAGACAGGAAAACGTGGATTTGGGGTGAAATCGGTGGGTTTTAGGAGGAAAGCGTGGATTTTTGGATGAAAATGTGGATTTGGGGTGAAATCCGTGGATTTCAGAGGGAAAATGTGGATTTTAGACAGGAAAACGTGGATTTGGGGTGAAATCGGTGGGTTTTAGGAGGAAAGCGTGGATTTTTGGATGAAAATGTGGATTTGGGGTGAAATCCGTGGATTTCAGAGGGAAAATGTGGATTTTAGACAGGAAAACGTGGATTTGGGGTGAAATCGGTGGGTTTTAGGAGGAAAGCGTGGATTTTTGGATGAAAATGTGGATTTGGGGTGAAATCCGTGGATTTCAGAGGGAAAATGTGGATTTTAGACAGGAAAACGTGGATTTGGGGTGAAATCGGTGGGTTTTAGGAGGAAAGCGTGGATTTTTGGATGAAAATGTGGATTTGGGGTGAAATCCGTGGATTTCAGAGGGAAAATGTGGATTTTAGACAGGAAAACGTGGATTTGGGGTGAAATCGGTGGGTTTTAGGAGGAAAGCGTGGATTTTTGGATGAAAATGTGGATTTGGGGTGAAATCCGTGGATTTCAGAGGGAAAATGTGGATTTTAGACAGGAAAACGTGGATTTGGGGTGAAATCGGTGGGTTTTAGGAGGAAAGCGTGGATTTTTGGATGAAAATGTGGATTTGGGGTGAAATCGGTGGATTTTAGGAGGAAAACGTGGATTTTTGGATGAAAACGCAGATTTCAGGCAGGAAAAAGCAGATTTTGGGGTGAAACCCGTGGATTTGAGGGGCGGGGTGAGGTTCGTCCAGAGGAGCCTGGACAGGGCGGCGGCGCGGCCGGCCAGCGTCAACGTCTCGGTGGTGCTGGCCGACTCCGACCTCGTCTGCTACTGACGTGGAATTTTCCGGGATTTTCCGGGATTTTTCTGGAATTTTCTGTGAATTTTCGCGATTTTTCCGGAATTTTCTGGGATTTTCTGTGAATTTTCTGTGAATTTTCTGTGAATTTTTCTGGAATTTTCTGGGATTTTCTGTGAATTTTCTGTGAATTTTCTGTGAATTTTTCTGGAATTTTCTGTGAATTTTCTGTGAATTTTCTGTGAATTTTCTGTGAATTTTCTGTGAATTTTTCTGGAATTTTCTGTGAATTTTCTGTGAATTTTTCTGGAATTTTCTGTGATTTTCTGTGAATTTTCTGTGAACTTTCTGTGAACTTTCTGTGGATTTTCGCCATTTTTCTGGAATTCTCTGGAATTTTTCTGAGCATTTTTGTGAATTTTCGCGGATTTTCACAAATAAAGTGAGATTTGGAGAAATCTAAATTTGATTTTCGTGGGTTTTTTTTTTTTTTCCCGAGGGAAAACGGCGGATTTGGGCTGAAAAACGCGGATTTTAGGAGTGAAATGTGAATTTTTTAGGAGGAAAAAGTGGATTTGGGGCAAAATCCGTGGATTTCAGGGGGAAAATGATGGATTTTTGGAGGAAGAAGGTGGATTTGGGTTGAAATTTGCAGAATTTAGGAGTGAAATGTGAATTTTTAGGAGGAAAAAGTGGATTTGGGGTGAAATCCATGGATTTTGTGGGAAAAAAGCGGATTTTTGGAGGAAAAAGTGGATTTGGGTTGAAATTCGTGGATTTTAGGAGTGAAATGTGAATTTTTAGGAGGAAAAAGTGGATTTGGGTTGAAATTGGTGGATTTTAGGAAGAAAGTGTGGATTTTTGGATGAAAATGTGGATTTTAGACAGGAAAATGTGGATTTGGGGTGAAATTCGTGGATTTTAGGTGGAGAAAAATGTGAATTTTGGGAGGAAAATGAAGATTTGGGTTAAAATTCCCAGATTTTAGGAGGAAAAAAACTTGGATTTTGGGAGAAAAAACACCAAAACCACAAATTCAAACCGAAGGAAAAAACCCAAATTTTGGAATGGAGTAAAAAATCCCCAAATTTCCACGGGAAAATTGGGATTTGGGGGGAGAAAAATGGGATTTTTTGGGGTTCTTTTTATCAATTTTTTTGGTTTTTCTTTCACTTTTTTGGGTTTTTTTAGTCGCTTTTTAAATTATTTTTAATATTTTTTCCGTTTTTCCAATTTTTTGGTTTTTTTAGTCGCTTTTTTGGGGGCTTTTTCACTTTTTTTTTGTTTTTTCAGTTTTTTTGGGTTTTTTTTAACCTATTTTGGGTTTTTATTAAAAATTTTTTGGGTTTTTTTTCCACTTTTTTGGTTGTTTTTTCACTTTTTTGTTTTTTTTTCACTTCTTGGGGTTTTTCCCCCACTTTTTTTGGTTTTTTTCACTTTTTGGGCTTTTTTTTCCCACTTCTTTGTGGTTTTTTCACTTTTCTGGGGGGTTTTTCCACTTTTTTGGGTCATTTTTCACCTTTTTTGGTTTTTCTTTAATTTTTGGAGGATTTCTTTTCACCTTTTTTTCCCTTTTTTTCACTTTTTTCCCGATTTTCCCGCTTTTCGCCCCAGATTCCCGCCCCGGCTGCCTGGCGGTGGTGCCGGCGTTGGATCCGGATCCGGAAGATTCCGACCTCTGGATTTCCGGAACCTTCATCGTCCTCTTCCTCCTCAGCCTCTTCTACAGCACCGGCGTCACCCTCTTCAAGGCAAATTTATGCAAATTTATGCAAATTTCCCGCCAAAAATTCGCATTTATGCAAATTCCCCGCTAAAAAGTTTCATATTTCTGCAAATTCCCGGTGAAAAATTCCAAATTTCTGTAAAGTTATGGAAGTTTCCTGCTAAAATTCCGCGTTTATGCAAATTTATGCAAATTTCCGGTTAGAACTTCGCGTTTACGTAAATTCACGCAAATTTCCCCTTGAAATTTAATATTTAGGCAAATTTATGAAGGTTTCGCGTTAAAATTTCATATTTATGCAAATTCCTGCGCGTTTCCAGTTTAAAAAACTCAAAATTTATGCAAATTTATGCAAATTTCCAGTTAAAATATCACATTTATGCAAATATATGAAAGGTTTCTGGAAAATGTTTCGCCTATATGCAAATTTAGGCAAATTTCTTTCTATAAATATAGAAATAATTTGATTTATGCAAATTTCTGCAATATCGCTGTTAAAATTTCATATTTATGCAAATTTCTGCACATTTCCAATGTAAAAATAGTCAAGCTTTATGCAAATTTATGCAAATTCCATTTATTTTCTAAAGAAATCATATATATGCAAATTTCGTCTTAAGAAACTTTCATGTTTATGTAAATTTATGTAAATGTCCCCGTAAAAAACGTATTTTATGCGTATTTATGCAAATTTCTCATTAAATTATGCAGATTTATGCTAATTTTCTGTGTCTCTGTAGGTGCTGTGAGGTCCTGGAAGGCGAAGACGCCGAGTTTGGAATTTTGGGGAATTTTGGGAATTCTTTTTTAATTTTATGGAATTTTTTGGGCGCAATAAAGCCGGGTTTTGGGTGTTCGGTGTTAAAAATTCACTTTTTTGTTAAAAAAATCGCCGTTTTCGGTAAAAAATCCGAGTTTTCCCTTCGAGTTCCCAAATTTTTATGGATTTTGGGTCAATTTTTATGGATTTTGGGTCAATTTTAGGAGGTTTTTTTTGTCAGTTTTGGGCGGTTTTGGGTCAATTTTGGGCAATTTTGGTTCAATTTTGGCATTTTAGACCCAATTTTGGGGAGTTTCGTCCCAATTTTGAGGTTTTTAAGGCAGATTTTGGGGTTTTTCGGGGGGTTCCGAACCAAATTTGGGGGTTTTGATCCAAAATTCCGGTGATTTGGGCTCCGAATTTGGATTCTTTTCCCAATTTTGGGGCGATTTGATCCAGTTTTGGGGCGTTTTGCCCAATTCTGGGGGGTTTTGCCCAATTTTGGGGCGTTTTATCCCAAAAAATCTCCCAAAACTTCACCTAAAACCCCCCAAAATTTGGGATTTTTTTTCCCACAATTCCCCCAAAATTCCTTCCCCCTCCCCCACCCCCAAATTCCCACAAATCCCGAAGGAAAAAAGTCAAAATTTGGTTAAATTTTTTTTTAAAAATCTTTATTTTGGGTTTTTTTGTGGTTTTTGGGGGGATTTTGAGGATTTTTGGGATTTTTTGGGAATTATTTACAAGTGGGGGGAGGGGAAAAAAAAATTTCCCGGGAAAATTCCAGAGGGGGAAGCGGCTCCGGTTTTTTGGGGCGAAATCCGTCGGGTTTGGGTCATTTCACCTGGAATTGGGGAAAAAATGGGGTTAAAAAGAGGGGATTTGGGAAAATTCGGGGAATTTGGGGGAAATTTGGGAATTTTGGGGAGAAATTCGGGGATTTTGGGGAAAATTTGGGAAATTTTGGGGAGATTTTGGGGGAAAATTCGGGAATTTTGGGGGAAATTCTGGATTTTTTGGGGAAAATTTATGAATTTTGGGGAAAATTTATGAATTTTGGGGAAAATTTATGAATATTGGGGGAAATTTGGGGAATTTTGGGGGAAAATCCGGGAATTTTGGGGGAAATTCCCGAACCAGGAGGGGGAAAAAAAATGGGAATTTTTGGGTGTAAAAATGGGGGGAAAAACGGGGATTTTGGGTAATTTTGGGTCAATTTCGGGCGGTTTCGGGTACCTTGAATTCAGGTGATTTTGGGGTTATTTTGTGTGGATTTTGGGGCGATTTTGGGGTCGATTTTGGGCTGATTTCGGGCGATTTCGGGTGCCTTGATGAGGGTTTATTTTTGGGTTATTTTATCTAGATTTTGGGGTTGATTTTGGGGTCGATTTTGGG